GAAAAGACAGTTTGAAGGATTTTCAAGATCTTTTAATAGCTCTTTAACTACAGAAACTATTTCAGAGAGGTGATGACATCTATCTATGGTGTTCAATCATGTTAAAGAAGAAACTGAAGTACAGCGTAAAACATTGTCAGTATGTAGGGGTACTCTAAAAATAATTGTGTGGTGCATAGTAATAATTTATTAAATGTAGACCTTTATCTGTTACATATGAGAACAAATGTAAACAGTTTTTGGAATTAAATGTGATGTACCACTTGCATAACTTCTAATGGATCCTGTATCTGAAAACTTGAGCAGCTAAATATTTGAAGTTTGTCTCATTTGATGGTTATTTGAGTCAAGTTAGTCACCCTCCTAATTTTTTTTTGTGTGCAATACAGAAAGTTAACTCAAAGAAATTAAAATTACTGCAAGTTAATTTAAAAAAGATATGAATTTGTGTTTCATAGAATCACAGAATCTTAGAATCATAGTACTATTCAGGTTGGAAAGGACCCTTGGGATCACTGAGTCCAACCATCACCCCTACTCTACGAAGTTCTCCCCTAAATCATATCCAACACCACATCCAAACGACCCTTAAACACAACCAGACATGGTGACTCAACCACCTCCCTGGGCAGCCTATTCCAGTGTCTGACCACTCTTTCTGTAAAGAAATTTTTCCTAATGTCCAGTTTAAATCTCCCCTGTTGCAGCTTGAAGCCATTCCCTCTTGTTCTGTCACTAATTACCTGTGAGAAGAGACCAAGGCCAGCCTCTCTACAATGACCTTTCAGGTAGCTGTAGAGACTGATGAGGTCTCCCCTCAGCCTCCTCTTCCTCCAGCTAAACATTCCCAGCTCCTTCAAGTGTTCTTCATAAGATTTATTCTCTAGGCCCTTCACCAGCTTCGTTGCCCTCCTCTATACTTGCTCCAGCACCTCGATATCTCTCTTGAATTGAGGTGCCCAAAACTGGACGCAATACTCCAGGTGTGGCCTCACCAGTGCTGAGTACAGGGGGACAATCACCTCTTTACTTCTGCTGGTCACACTATTTCTAATACAGGCCAGGATTCCATTGGCTTTCTTGGCCACCTGGGCACGCTGCTGGTTCATATTCAGCACAGGGTTTTTAAAAGCTTGAGTGGGACTTGCAGTTTGGTGTAAACATGTATTCTACCTGTAGTTTATGAGGTTATACCCAAATATTATGCTGCCAAGTGCCCAATCACATACTCACCTTGTGTACTGTTCTATTTCTGCTATAGGTGTTGAGAATGTCAGTGTTTCTTTAAATCATGGGTTGGAGAATTTTCAACTGGATGGTCTATTTCTCATGGATGTAAATCAGTGAGAAAGCTAGTTCTGTTTTACACTTATTTTGATATTCCTCATCAGCTCCTATCAAGTAACTGTTTTGAACTGTCATTTTGTGTTCTGTGTAATCTTTCCCGAGAAGATAAGTAGTGTGCAGATGGCTAAGTATTGAGAAGAGTTGTAGAAGAGGCCTACCATGGCACGACAGACCATCTGAGAAACTGACATTGCATGCAAATTGTCACAAAGTACCTGCTTTTGTAGAACTTATTTAAAGTTAATAGATTACTGTTAATGGATGAAATTAAGATTTCACGTGTCTCATAAAAGCATGACTGTGCTACAGAACTTGAACAGTAGTTAGATTTTAAATAGATTTCATTTGTGGGTTTTATTTTAATTTTGGATGTAGGATTTCACGAAATATCCATAATTAACTGTTAATGTAAAATAGTAATTATAACATAAGCTTGGTGTTGTTTGAGAATGTTTCTGTTGGTTTTTTTCAGGCAAGTCTTGAATTGGCCTGCATTTAATGTATTTGCAAGGGTTTTGGAATGTTTCTAATGCAGTGTCCTCTCTACTCATTGTGCCATAAGGTATTTTTTACGTCTGCCAGCCAATTTTCTCACAGGTATTTTCTTTCCTGAAAGAAGAGCTTGTGTGACCTTACCTTTAGCCTGGTCATAACAAATGGCTATCCGATAAACGGTCTTGTAATGAGGAAATAAAACCTTTCTTTCTTCCCTTGTTCATTGAAGGGGAGTGCTTGTGAAAAAAATGAGCTGAATGAGACTGGAAAATTTGAGTGTCTGTAGGTCTAGTCTTTGACAGAGTCAAAAGGTATTTTGCAATGGTACAAAATGTGTAGGCTGCACTTGGATTTCACTATGAGGGCTCTATAGCAACAACAAATATTTTGTAAATTCCTCTTAATGGGTTTTGAGCAGGTTGTGTTCTGCTACTCTTTTTGTTTGTAACTTCCTTAGGACTGAGCAACAAGATTGCCTTCTGGTTGGAGTTGTCACAACTATTTCAATTTGTTTTTGGAGACGTAGTGCTACAACTGAAATTTGGGGTATTTGCCCATCATTTGCAGTAGCAGTATTTGTTACAAAATCTGTTTTTTCAGGAAAAAAGAACTCGGTGAAACTCACCCTGATATTAGAAATTCAGGTTTTTTGCTACTTTTCATTCCTGTTATTTCCTCACAGTTTCAATTGGCTCTTTCCATCACTTTTTCCACTGCATGTTCCAATATATTCCTATATATTATATATTCTTGTGGTTATTAGAATAGTGTTAAAGGCATCAATTGTACCAAAATGGTTGAAATTTACTTAATGGAGCCCACTAATTGTGAGCTATTTTCTTATAACTCTTCTAGTCAGTGAAGCCAAACATGTATGATAAAACATTATTTGCAATTCCAGAAGAGAATGAATAGTTCTGTGCCTTTTGATGGAGAGTGAAAAAGAAAGACGAGAAATTTGAATAAAGTTTGATCTCGGAGCATCTTATGAGAGTTCTTAATATGCTGATCACCATAAATGTACATTACACCTTTGTTGGTAATGTGGTACTTAACCTTATATCTGAGAAATTAGAAAAAAATTGCACTCCCAGGACAGAGGAGTGTGCTAGAAAAAAATATAAGAATAATAATGTGATCACCTTTAAGTTTTCTTGGAATTGTAGGGTAGTTAGTGGACATCAGAGAGAAAAAAAATAAATCTGACATTACAGATAAAGCTAATATATTATGGCAAATTATTGATATTTCTTTTTTTTTTTCTTTTTTTTTTTTTCCCCCTCAAGTCATTAAGGATATTTAGATGGTTAGTTGATTGAAAGTGTTGTTGTGGGTTTTTGTTTGTTTGTTTGCTTTTTTTTTAATAATAGAGAATTCCTTTCTCCAAGAATGAAACTGCTTCTGTGAAAGGCAAACTAAAATTTACATCAGAGAAATACAATTTGTGCAAATACAGTAAAGACATGACAGAAGGCCTTTTTACTAGATAAATGTCCTTTTGGCTAATTTTGTGTCCACTAAAGCCACATTTTTGTAATATATGTCTAGTCTTTTCTGAGTGACCTCTTGTTGCTTTCATGTAACTACCAGGTTTTTCCATCAAAACAATTACCACAAAACAGTTACAGTTTGGTAAAAAAGTGAGTTACGTTCTTGGTTAATGCATTCATTTTGAAAAAACATTCACACTTTGGATAGTACTAGGTAGCCTGTCAATCTTGATCTCTGTCAAAGATCTTTTGTGTTCTTGAGGCTTAATATCTCATTTTATGCATAAATGAATGAAACCTGTCTTTTCTGAATCAGTATTATTGCGTCATTAAAGACACCTTTTCATCATGAAGACCTGGCATTATATCTTCTCCAGAATCAAGATGCTATGCAAGATAATAGTTTAAATATATATATATTTTAATACTATTTGCTTCACTTTTATTTCTGTCTGTGTTTCTCAGTTAGTTCTCCTGCTTAAAAATAGAATTACATATGTTTTCCTTGTACCCAGAAAAAAAGTAATAATTCTTAAATATATTTGGATTTTCTTATAATATGAATTTGACCTAGATTTATAACAAAAATGAAAATAATTTGTCAGTCCTTTTTTACTCATGTCATTATCATAGACTTTCTTTTTAAGGTAGAGTCAGACTAATTCCTACTGCACCAGTTAAAAACTTAGAATTCAGCTTCTCCTGTGTATTTTAAGAGAGGGCTAGGAGGTCAGAATGGACTAAGCTAGTGATGTTCTGGAAACTTTTCCCTTTCTCCTTCTTATCCTTTTCCATTTTCCCTGTAACACAGTGGTTTCTTCCCATAGGATAGTTAGGCTGAAGAGAAAAGAACAAGATGCTTTCATTTTAGGGGAGGAAAGATAGGGTAGCTCATTTGCATTGTAGTTGAAGTGCTCTTCACATGCTGGTTAGATAATCAGATACTGGAGTTTAATAAAACTGAAACCTCCTCTTTAATTTTCACTTTCCCTCTCATTCATTTATCTTATCAAGTGGATTATATAATTATTTAATGGACTAAGCAGGGTTTGTAGAGTGGTACATACAATAATGAAAGCTGAAGCATGGAAAGCAATCTTTGTACATAGGAATTAAGATGAAGGTATACAGAAACACAAAAAAAAACCCCACCTTTTTTTAGTAGTACTGGATATCCCTCTGCAAGTAGCCATACTTTCTAGCCTTTTCTAGATATGGGATTTTTACTGTATAGATGGTCTAGAAGTGCTAGGTAAACCTAGTTCTGTGGAATCCTCCTAAATTTATATACTGCAGTTGATTTTAATATGTGCAGAGGTAACATTAACATAAAAAAAACCCAAACCCACAGCAAAATATTTCTGTAAAATCAAAGGAAAAGTATAATAAAGTTGACAGGTCCAAATTTGTTTAAAATTATTTCAGTTCTTAACAAACATAGAAACAAGCAAAGAAATCCTAAACCCCTGCAATCTCTCCCCCTGAAAATCAGTTAAAAAACTTAGGAGATACATTTGATTTTTATACAAATCTCTGAGAACCTGGCAATGGCACAATAAAAGAATTATAGAAAAAGTTTAAGCAGTTCTATGTGTTGAAATGTATTACGGAAATTCACTACTTATTTTAATTAAAAGGTACTATTTTTTTCTTATCTTGCTTTATTAGGGTTCTTCCCAAGCAGTTCTCAAGGATGTGATGCTTTTCTTCGGCACAAGATGACTCTTATTTCTCCATCAATATTGAAAAAATATGGAATTCCTTTTGACAAGGTAAATTAGTATTTCTTTTTAAATTGTGCATTTGGGTGTTGAAATAGATTGTGTTTACTATAGTAACTGCTTATATTTAAAGGTAAGGCAATTGAAAACAAATGCTTGAAATATTAGGATCTTTTTATGGTTTAGCTTGTAATTTTGTAGCAGAAAACACTAGTAGCCATCATAATATTTATGCTAAAAGTTTCTGTGATTTTTAAAACAATACCAATATTTTAAATTTCTATTTTATTTCCATCCAAGCTTGCAGGTGATTTTTATTGACTGAAATGCTTATTAACTAGCTATATTGATATAAATTCTGTACCTAAATATTAATTTTTTTAAAATGTCTGTATGTTGTTTTTTCTGATGCAATTAAATATAAGTGTATCAATATCATGATCTAAAATGTTTCAGGTGGTATAAAACCTAAAGAACTGCTGTGTAGTATGAGAAGTACTTTAAATTTTCCAACTTTTTAGAAAAAGAGTAAATTATTATTTTGTGCTGCTAGGTTTTGGCAGACTGAACATTTGCTAAGACCATTATATAAAGAGAAAGTGGGAAAAAAAGCTGACTTTCTTATTTGTGGATGAATGTGATACATAGTTGCTTTCAAACCCATCTGAATTGTTCAGTTTCTTTGGCTTTCTTGCAAGATTTTTTACCTTCCACTTTGAACTTCATATAGGTTACAGCTAAAAAAATATTTCTATTGCATTGCTTTTTCTTTAAGCATATTTTTTATCTATCCTGAATGCTTTTCAAATTCTCAATTTCTAAATTTAAGAGCTTTTAAAGCCTACTCAGAAGAGTAGACCTTGATATAGAATGTCCCCTGCCTAAATATCTGTGTATGTTATACTTGTTTTTTAAAAGCCTTTTGATCATTAAGGTTTCCCACTGCACAGGCTGTTTTAAGGTGTTCAGAAGAACTAGTATATACTTCTCACTTCGTTCCTGCTGCAGTATAATGCTGCAAACTGTCCCTGTCACACTCCTTTTTTATTATTACCTTTTCTGTTTTAGTGTAGGCACTATTTATTTACTGGTATATAGTGTGGGCCTCTGTATACACATTTAGCTTATGATGTTCTCTGGACTGGAGTATAGGATAATGTAGTGCTTTCTGTCTGCTTTAGTTGATATTTTTATAGCAGAATGAATAGTTACCCCTAGAAATAATACTAATGAAGTGAATTTAAGAGAACTTTTTGGGTATAGTATTGTCATGATTTAACCCCAGCTGCCACCTAAGCCCTACACATGCATTCACTCAATCTCCCCTAGTGGGATGGGGAGACAATCAGAGGGGTAAAAATGAGAAAATTGTGCGTGGAGTTTGGGACAGTTTAATAGGTAAAGAAGCAAAACTGCTCACTGCAAAGCAAACTGAGGAATTAATTCACTACCTCCCATCAGCAGGCAGGTGTTCAGCCATCTCCAGGAAAACAAGGCTCCGTCATGAGTAACATTTACTTGGGAATACAAACACCATCATTCCCAATCTCTCCCCTTCTTCCCTCAGTCTTTATTACTGAGTATGACATCATATGGTCTGGGATACCCCTTTGGTCAGTTGGGGTCAGCTGTCACAGCTGTGCCCCTTCTCAGCTTCTTGTGCACCCACAGCCTACTTGCTGGTGGGGTGGAGTGAGAAATGGAAAAGGCCTTGACTCTGTGAAATGACTGCTCAGCAGTAATTAAAACATCTCGGTATTAACAGCACTGCAGCTCAGGTGGGATGAAGCCACTGATTTGTTATTTGCCTTTTGGAGTATATCTTCACTTTTTCATGCTTAAAACAACCTGTGTATAAAATAGAAGAAATGTAGGTGTTTAAAATGATACTGCCTGCTTTGGAAAGCAAGCTTTTTTTGAATAAATTTCTCATAGAAGACCTAGTTTGTTTTCAGAATGATATATTATCATATGGAAATGAAGTAGCTGAGTTCACGTTTTCTAATATATAGGTAAATCCTGATTCCCTTCATAGCTTTATGTTTATCGTGAAGTGTCAGATGAAACCTTTCACACTGGAAGGTTTTATAACTAGATTTATAGTTTTGGGTTTGCAGAACATTACTCTGAACAGTATAATTTTCAGTGGTTGGTGTTTACACTATCATATTGCAGAAAGTTTGTTTTCAGTGCCGCACATTTGACGTGGGTAAGGGAATTGATTATTGCTGTAATCTAAAAAAAAAAAAAAAGAAAGTGTTAGAAATAGTTAAATATTTGAGTTTGGTTCTGTCACCTAGTCTTTGGAGGAAGCAGACTGTACCCAAGTGTAATTGTAATTAATGGGATTCAGTGAGAAAGTGAATAGAGAGAACCAGGCTGTGATCTGTCATGGCTCAAAGTGATAGAAGTGGAAATGTGCTGAATGCTGATAAGGCAGCCTGTGTCTACCAGGTGGCAGCTGTACTGCTGCTTGTTGAAATAGAACACCTGCTAAACTGTCAGCAGTGGGAGGGTGTATTGAGATAAATTTTTGGAATTGTTGGTATTGAGAATAATCTTTCTTAAACATTCCCACAGTGATTGTTGGAGTGCTACAGTAGCAGTTACAATATATGCACCTGAATGCGCATTTGCTTGTAATGCTAAATATGAATCCACAAAAAATTAACCTTGCAAAGTGCCAAGGTAAAATATAAGATCCCATTTTACTCTTTTGCTTTCTTAGCTAAGTATGTTTTTCTTGTTTTTCTCTTTCCTTTGTGCCATAATACAATCAGAAATTCAAATATTGAATTGGTATCTCAGTGTGTTTATTCTTGCAATGAACAAAAGAAAAAAATACATCAAGAATTCATAAAATTATGAGGTGAAATTTTGAAGGAGAAAAAAGGGGAGATTCTAAAAGTGGAAACAATGTAAGACAACCATGCCAGCAAAAACCTGATATTTTAAAAATGACATGTTAATAAGAAAAATGTTTGGATTTGTGAGTTTTAATTTTGGTGTTTGTTTAAAATGTAACTCTTCCTTTTTGCAATTTCAAATCATAAGTATGTTTCCCTAAAAAAAGTAATATTTTCCTTCCAATTTTTCTTACTGTATTGCTTTTGCAAGGCATTGTCAGACAATGAAAGGAGCCTATTCGATCTCTAAGGAAGTCTCTTTATTTTCCTGTAATCAGCAAATATGTCTTGTTGAACAGTCAGTCATTGCTCAGATTATTTGCTTCATTTAAATGGATCTCTTTGATTTTCAGTGGGCCTGCTGTCTGATGTGTTACATGCAAACAGGCATATCAGACATTATAGGGAATCTCTTTTAACTCTTTCCTTTTGAATCTTCTAGTTCATTGATTAATTCTTATCAGATAGTTCAGAAGATTGTGTGCCATTTCTAGTCTCTGATTAGCCTGTCCATGATACACCTTCTGGTGGTCTGACTTTAAGAGATTAAGCCTGTATCTGAGGGAGTATTAGTGACTGACAAGTGTTGTGTCTCCTTTTCTTCATGTCCAGAGGAGAGCAGCAGTCTATCCAAATAGAAGGAGATTACATTTCTCTCTTGAAAGAGAATATACTGACCATTTATTTGTTTATTGTACCAAACTTTTTTTTTTTTTTTTTTTTTGGTAAAAAGCTTTTTATATTTGATATCTCTTTTTTTTTTTTTTTCCAAACTTTTTTTTTTTTTTTTTTTGGTAAGAAGTCTTTTAAATCTGATATCTCTTTCACAATGATTAGGCATTTGGTATCCTTTTGGCTATACAAAACATAATTACTATGACAATTGTTTAGTGTTGATTTTTTACTTTTTTTAATGCTTTCTAGAATTTTTTGTTGAATCAGTGGCCTCAGCACTTTTCTTTTGGTTGTTTTTCGCTGTACATGTAAAGAACAGAGCAGACCTTTGGAACTACCCTTGCTTATTGTCTAAAGCAATACTTAACTCTAGTCAAACTTCTCTTTGAGAATCTTCTTTCATGCCCCTTGTGCTTTAGGTATTTTGAGTTTTCATTATCAATAAATCCAGATTCATATCCTTCTATTAAATTGTGCTTAATGAGAAAGAAGGAGATGACACAGATTGAAATTTGTTTTAATGCAATGTCTAAAGTGGTGTTTTAATGGCCTTACATTGGGACATTCTGCATGGCATTTCAGTGCAAGAATCCCCTTTGGTGTTAGCAGCTGTAAGGCTGAAGAATTGGTGCACAGCTATTTTTGATAATTCTTCTTCCTTTCCTATCCAAGTGATTTAAAGATATTGCTTAAGTGGATCTAAATATATCCAGCGTGTTCCTTTGGGATGAACACCATTGTTTCCTTTAACTCCTACAGCTCGTTAACTTAGAGTTTTTTTCCTACTTTATGCTTGATCATCAACAGTAAGTAGCTTAAAAGGCAGATCAGGCCCTCAGTCATAGGTCTTCGAATTGTATTTTTTTAAAAGCGTGAGTATGGGAGAGAAGAGTGAGATTAAGATCTCTCTGCTGTCTTCTCGGGAAATGTTTTGGTGTGTTTCTAGGGAAACATCTTCAGGGTGGCAGACAGAATGATTTCTTCAACAATTTTTTACTAGTATATAGGAATGATTAGTTGTGGTTGTTTTTCTATGCTGCTTTTCCATCAGGAATATGGTAGCGTTCTCTGCGCTGTGTCTTCTAACTCCCTATTCTTCCAGGTTTTGCTATCAGTGAACCTCTGCCCCAAGATTAGCTTTTTTAAAAATACTTTCTGAATTCATAATGTAATAGATGTAGCTATGTATTTTATAGTAAGCAACATTGTCTCAAGTATACTATATATTTGCATTAAATCGTGATGTATGCAAGTTGAAAAAAATAAATCTTTCTTTCTAGGTAGCTGCAAAGGCAAATATAGTTTTACTTCAGGAGCAGAACTGCTTTTGTGATGTGTTTCACTTTGAGGTCTTTTTTTTTGTTCTGTTTTGGTTTTATGGTGTAGGTTACACAAGAAGCAGGAGAATTTATGATCACGTTCCCATACGGATACCATGCAGGATTTAACCATGGGTTTAACTGTGCAGAGTCAACAAACTTTGCCTCCATCCGATGGATTGATTATGGAAAAGCGGCAAAATTGGTAAGTCATATTGCAAAAACTTGTTGTGTAAGGAAATCTTTCCTGTGGTTATTTCTTTGTGAGAACCTACGGAAGCTGGTGGCAAAGGGAGAACTATTAATTGGGTAGTACCTTATGCTTTCATTGAAGTTCTGTTGATAGGTATTCTTTTTATAGTGGGTATCATACTTCGCTAATGGGTATTCCCTCTCAGTAATGAATTTTGTTTGCAGCTCAATGTGTATGTTGTTCTTCACAGACAGTTCTATTTATGGATATTTTTCAGTTGAATCTATGTATACTGAAGTTAGTGTATATGATGACAACTGACTTCTGCTCTTAAACCTTCTTTAAACTCTACCATTTGTGAAAGCACTTTATTTAAATTAGGAATTTTTATACTGCAAAAGAAATATAAATAATTAAAATTAAACAAAGTTTAAAGTATCAAGTCCAATATTTCTCATCTATAATGTTATCATATATCTTACAGTATGAAATAATAAAGGAACTGTGAACTCAGAGTAGGTATTTTCAGGTTTTAAAGTGAGGTGAGGTTCACTGAAGGTATTTTAAACTTTTAGACTATGGCAATATTTTTTGCTTCTTGTACAACGTGTAAGAAAATATACAAAATTGAGAAAGTGCAAGTTGTTCAGCAGAAATTTGTTACTGTTTTTCAATATTCAGTGATTCTTCTCAGAGTATTTCTCTCACAGTCTTTGTTTAGTATGCTTCCCAAAATGTTTCTTAGAGGCAGTTTCTGCATCGACTTGTTCTTTGTTGAAAAAATTTTTTTCAGTAGTTATTTTCTTAATGTATTAGCTAAAAAGATGATGTGGAAACAAAGCAAAAAATCAGATGTGCACGTTTAACAATTAAGTAATGATAGTGAACTCTCATTAAACACTTGGAAGTGGAAGACCATAATGAGAAACTTCTCCAATAGTGGAAATTTATTATTCTAGTGACCGTTGATTATTATTGTTAATGAGATTGAATTTGCTTCAAAGGTAAGAAATTTATAAATATTTTTCCCATGTGTTCTCTGTGCACACACTAACAGTAGTGGAAGTATTGAAAACATCAATATGTATCTTACATATTCAGAATGGTCTTTAGCTTTAGTGGGAAAGTTACATTTTTAATAGCCAACAAAAGGTGTTGTCTGTAAAGCTAATTAAAAAGAAAATATTATCTATGTGTTTGATAGTTTGCAATTTCTACAGATAAGTACAATGAAACAAAGTTGAGAGGAGTATGGGATATGGACCTGTGAGAGTTAATTGCAGCAGGTTAAACTGTCCTGGGTTTTAAAAGGTATGAATGTGCTGCAGTTCTAAATTTTTTTCAACTGAGCTTTAGGAATGGCAAACTTTATCTCCAGATGTAAGAAAGCTGAAGTAATGATACATGCAGCTACATACCTTGCAGTGTACAGGCTTCATATTTCTTGTGTTTTAAAAAAACGTTCTACCATTTAGTGTGTGACTGTTCCTGTTCAAACTATTACATGTTTTATGCCTCCAGTGTGCCTCTCAATTATTGTATTATACTGTAAACTTTATCTCATGTTTAAATTCAGTGGCATTAGAAGATAATTTTTTCAAAGTTAATGAAATCTTGTTCCTTTCCACTACTCCAAAAGTGCTTCTGAAAATCTAAATTTTTGCTAGGAAATGTTGGCATATAAATTCTAAATACAGTTTTATTTAGTCAAAATTCTCTAGCATATAGAGAAATCTTTCATCTATCATCAAGATATTAAATTGTGTACTCTGTTCTTATTCCACATAGGAACAGTGTTGTGCATATACAGTATAAGAAATTGAAGTATTTCTGTGTTATCTGCAGTTGAATTTAAAAGTCTGAAAGTTTTAAAGTTTCAGCTGAAGCAGTAATGACTGCTCTCCCTCTATGAAGGTATCTTAGATAACATTGTCAAATGTGAACTCCCGTTTCTTTGGCAAATTACCAGAGAGCTTCATATTACTTGGTTATTTTTTATTGCTTATTACCACAAGAATGAAAATTAAAGAGTATTATCTTTTTAAATGAAAAGTAACATGCTTGGAAGTTGTAGGTTTTTTAAAACAATTTTTTAATGGAACTGTGTAAGAAGATAAGAACTAATGGAAAGGTGGTGACGTAATTCTTCATAATACTTGCATTTGCTCATGCTGCACAAATAGGATAAACAAGTCAAACTGAGAAAATATTATAACTGGTTATCTGTTCTTAAATTCTAATTATGTGACCCTTTGAAAGCTCACACAGGAGTTAATGCAAATTGGGTACTCTGTGTTTTAATTAGGATGTTTCTTTATGAAAACATGAGGATAGCTATGATTAGTTTTATCACAACCTCAGGAAACTTCCTGAAATTAATTAAAAAGGTAAGAATACTATGTGCCCAAAGAATACTGACATTTTAGTAAGTTTTAATTGCAGCTCTGGTATTTTAATTAAAAGAAAAAAACCCCACACCATATAACCTTGCATTCCCATTTGTCATCTTCAGAGTACTGATGCTTGTTTGACTTAGATGTGCTTTCTGTGTGTGATATGTATACAAATGTTAATTGGAAAAAAAAAAGTGGATTCCCTAGTTCACCTGTATTGTACTCCAGAAATTGCATCAGCAATATCTAGGTTAGTTTGTTGCTATATTCTCCCTAGACAATATTGTATACTGATGACTGATTACTTGTCTTCATAGAGGAACACTTTTATTTTTATAGAATAGTTTCTAATTGCTTACGGGTGGATTTCTTCCTTAGGAAAAAAAAAAATGACCTGAAGTACAGTTAGTACTTATTCTTCATTAGTTTCAGGGAGGAAAAAAAAAAAAAAAGAGGCAAAGTTTTCCAGTTAAGTTGTTGTAAATATTTAGGCTGTGTGATAATACTGCTTTCTGGCATGAAATGAGATGGTGTTAAATACTGTGTGAAATAAATTGCAAATGTTAAATCGAACTTCATTTAAACCCCTAGTAATTGAAACTTTGGTTAAGCAGAGACTATGGATGCTAATTTTCTATCTTTAAAAACACTAAACTTGTGATCTTGGTTTTACTATGTGTACCATACTTAGCTGTGGTAGTTGCATGTACCCTCCCGCTTGTTTTCTAGAGTTTGTGTAAGACTTTCAGTCAGGGAGTGATATATGGAAAGCAGTACCAGGTGGCACCTCCAGTGTGCTCTTTGCACGCTTAGCTGCTGCTTTGATATGTGTTCTCACTTTGGGAGAGAGTGAAATTGGACAGAATTAAGCAGAAGTAAAAAGCTGATTTAAGAAAAAAAAACAAAACAACCAAGCCACAAATGGAGAAATAACAGATACACTACAAATCTTCAGCTCCACGGGAGAGGTTGTTTCTGCTGTCTTTTACCACTGGCAAGAACACACAGGAAGAGAACTGGGAGATACTGGAAAAGAACAGACCAGTCATATTCTGATGATGATGGGTGTGGTGCAGAGGGATGTTTTATGAAGGGCTGATACTAAGTAATGGCAGCACTTAGAGAATCAAGGAGATGTAGTGCTCAACTCATAAGTACTTCAGTTGTTTGTTACATTCTGTGAGGATGAAAGACTCTCTGATCCTTAGGTATCCTGTAACTTTTAATTGTTGGATGCTATTTATTTTTGAAAAAAAAAAAAGATATAAAATATGGACAGATAGAATAATTTTTAGGCTTCAGTGAATTTTATAATGTTCCTATTGGAACTACATTTATCTGAGTAATGTGGAATTGTGTAGTTTAATGAAGGACATTTTGAGTTTCTTTACTCGAGTGCATTCTGGCAGTATTGGTAATGCAGATGAGCCAGTGGCAATTAGCTTGTATGTTTTGTAGGAACCCACTTTGATTTGTGCTGAGTAAATAACTTGTTTGCTGAACAAGGAATGGTGTTCAGTTACTAGAACTTGTGTCCAGGAGGTGGGTAATTTGAGCAGGTTTAGTCAGGGTCTAATTCTTCCTTATACAGTGGTGATTATTTTAGTTTCTTTCCTTCTGTTTTCCTCCTGTTACTGTTTAAGTCCTCACATTCCTCTGCTTGTTGCTTTTCCAAATACTCTTGGTAGACTCTCTCATAACTCTCCTTTGCCCTTTGCCCAAGTGGGTACCTGCACTTTCAAAAGCTTACAGAGAAGACACTGATGTTTCTGAATACTGCTCTCATTGATCACTGTGTCTGTTTTGTGGCATGATTTGGAGACTTTCACTCGGTATAAATTTATGTAAATTTTACTGCCTTCCATCAGGGATGGAGTCACACTAGGTGATTTTACTCATCATTATAATGATTCTTTTGTATTGCAGCTCCTTTTAAGACGTGATTTGTTTTCAGATGTTGATTTTGGAAAGCTTTTTGTAGTTTAGCTGATATGTAGAACCTGAGGAGAGAAGTCTACCAGCCTTCCCTACTTGAAACATAATACTTAAGTATTATTGCTTTCTTTCTTAAAATTAAGACAGTAATTACTCATGCATTTTTCAGTGGTAGCTGCTTAGCAACACATTTTCTGTGGATAGGTTAGATCAAAGTGCTGGCCTGCAGGTTGTATTTTTCCCTTTGGTGGCATGAAGTGCAGTTGTTTTGATGTTAGGTTTGATGGATTTGTTTGCCACTGCATTCATTAGCTTCATATCAAAAAACTGACAGGCTGTTAAATGAAACTTTGGGTTAGATTTTCAGCTTCGCTGTTTGGAGACCTTTGTGAAGATATTTTGTTTTTGTGCTGCAGCTGCCTCAAGCAGTTATGACTGTTTCAAAGGGAAGAAAAGTTATTTAGTGTCCTGATTTCTTTGGGTAAAAGAGAGTCATGTCTTGAGGATAGCCATGTCCAGCTTAAGCTATCCAAACAGTATTTTTATTGTGAAATTTGTATCGAGAGACAATATGTATGACTTAAATAATTTTATCAGGGAAGAAATTGTCACTCAATAACACTTTCTCACCTCTCATAAGTTATTGAGGTAATAATTTTTTCAATGAGGATTATGTTTAGGTTG